ACACCAAAAAAAGAACTGCTAACAGTTTTTCGAAATTTGAAAACGAATAATTCGCAAGCAGGAATTTAGAAAAAGGGCCCGTTAAAATGTAGACGCAATTTGTAATGCAGGTTTGCTAAACTAAACATTCTTAATTTTTCTTATTTGACAAGAATACAAAATAAACATAAATGAGAAAGAACCTAGGAAAGAACGCAATTAAATTAGTGTCTTGTGCATCGTTTTTGAGGAAAAAGTTGAAAAAGTAACAATTTTGAAACTAAAGTTGAAGAAGAATTTATAAAATGCATCATTTCAATAAATTTCACAAAATTTATTGCCAATCATTATAATACCTACTTGTATCTTTTGCTAAATATCTTTTTTTTGTATATACATCCTTTTTCTTCAAAGTTTTTGTAGCAAGAACCTCATTTTCCTTCACAACATTGTACTTACTTACCGTGTGTTTCTATCAAAATTATTAGCACGGAATTCTGTCTTTATACCTTAGATAATGATGTCTGTCCTCAGGTATTCAATTATAGTGCTTTCAAAGAGCAAACAGACACACAAGATTCATAAAACTCAAAATTTTGACAACATCTCAATTTGAACACATAACCATATTTTTTTAACAAAATTTCTAGGGACAAAAACAAAGAGCAAACAAAATTTGTGGCTATGGAGACAAGCTGCTACCAATTTTTTTCACCAAAATTTTGACTTAATAATTTCCATTTAAAAAAAACTGACTTTACCTAGACACTCCTTAGAAAACGTAACATTGCATAAACCTGAACCTTCTCGCGTACTTTCATCCCGTTTCCAAATCGATAATTACTTCGTAATTCCCTTAGAGGGAACGACTTTACCTACTTTGGAATTAAAAACTTGAACTCGGAGGCCTAAAGGCAGCTTAAGCAAAATTTATAATTCATGACATTTACAGTCGACTGCTTTATAAGTCTGATCAGTGGAGTCATTTTCTAAGCTACCATGCAACAAAGGCCTTTAGATCACTTTATTGAGGGTATTACGATAAAGCAAAATTTATTACTACTTACTCAACTCCAAATGACTTAAGGTTTTGGTCAGTTTATTAATCTTTCAAAAGTATGAGTAACGATAATTGCGTTTGGCAAAAGTACACAAAATACCACATTGTCAAATAAATTTTGAAAATGTGAGGAGGCTCATTTAGCGAACCCGGAATAACAACAAAATGAAAAATCTTGGCCCTAAATTCTGTTGGTTCTGAAACAACAACGTTCAAGGTTCGGTACATAATTACGGTTAGTAATAGTGTCCTAAATTTTAACGAATCTGCTTGAAGTTTACCGAAACTTGCTTAAATTGCAATTAAGAGTTGAATGTTCATCATAGTTATTCGCTGCCGAATTTGAACCGTGACTAATTCCAAAACCACTGGCGTATCCTGTTCTGCACAAATTCCTGAAACGATTTCCTCTGAGAACTGGTCATCTTGATCGAATAAAACAAGCCTCGACTTTCTATTTCCTTATCGCAGTCATAAAAATATCTAGTGACGATTTCGGCTTAAAATTTGAAGGTATTGTTTAAAAACTAAGGCCATCGACCCACGCAACAGCGAGAGACAAAGTGGTTTTATTTTTGGTCTGTCTTTGTTCGTATAACCAAATATTTATAGTTCTGCACGAAGATAAAGACTGTCCTTTATCAACCACACGCTAAGGTAAAGTTTTGATTCACGGACACGCTCCTCGATTGAAAGAAAACTCGAACTATTTCAAGAGCTAAATTTTGATTGGGCTCGGAATACGCGGCGCCGCTGTTTAAAATGCAAACAAGAAGCTAATGACCCTATCCTCCGGTCATGACGATTTACATCTACTATTTAAATATCTAATCGACTATCCGAGTTTGTTAAATTTTTGATCAAGATTAAACTTGTTGCACATTAATAACAATGCGATTGAATTTTTAAACTTCGTGGACTACTTAAGAAACAATGAACATTTGGGTCGTATTGTGTGTGCTCCTTACCGAAAAAGAAATTTGCAATTCCCTTCGAAACACGTGGATTTGGAAAAGTAACATCTGCACCTTGTCATGGACAAGGTGAGGAGGATTCTACCAAACGCGTCACTATTAACCTCGCGTTATTATGAAGTCTATATTTACATTTCTCGTTTCAAATAACAGTTTCATCACCAAAAAATGGTACATGGTACCTGACGTGTGAATCCATTAGCCTTGTATTTCCACTAAATTATCAGAAATTTATAAAAGGAAGTTTCTAGATTATGCTATAATTTAGTATGTGGAAAATGAGCAAGTGATCATAAACATACCACAATTTTTGAATCATTGTATATCGGTAAAGACAGGTGATGGAATTATTGCAAACAATTTTGTTTACTTCAAAACATTCGAAAGATAGCACACATCGTTGCATGCACGTGGATTAATTACAATAGGGAATTCGTAAATTAAGTTAAAAATAGTGCACTTATTAATCAATTTAATAATTTCGATAAAAACTATAAGACGTCACAATTTGATTATCATTCATAAAACTTATCGCACGCTCTCATTGATTATCTGAATGGCTGCAGATAATTTAATTAGTTTATTCAAAGTGCTGAAGTCGCTTCTACGAAAAATGTACACGGATTTACTCGTATATTTCGAAAGGTTGAACGTAAAAATTAATATTTTTAATTACTGCAATAGTAATGTGGAAATAGCTTTTGTTTTACGTTATTTTTTATCTATTACGTCTAAAATTACCCACAGTGGGATGGACTCGTGTAGCATATAATCAAAATAATTTGGCAACTTTGTCGTGACTTTTGCAAATCGTCGCTTTCATTGTTGCAGCGAGAGTGAAAAATACTTCTACGAACAAGATACACTTTTCATTCCAAACTCTCGAAAAACCATTTTATTTTAAGTTATATTCTTTTAGAGTGTTGTATACCTTGTGAGTCAAATTATACCCGCACCCTCAATACACCTCTTACTAATTCCAAAAAAATTCGCAGCAATTTCTTCTATACATATCCTCAAATTTTTGTACCAATTTTTTTCTCTTAAAAAATATTTTATAAAATCAAGCTAATGCGAATGCCTGATAAGAAGTCAAAAAGGCAGAATATTGCTAAATGAAATAAATTCTCACATTATACATACCAGGTGAATAAAAAGTATGGAACCAAACATTTTATGCTTAAATTATTTATTTTTTGAAAAAACTAATTGATGAGTGATAAAGTACTATAAAAATGTGATGATTTAACAAGAATAAAATTTTTCGAAATTTCCTTTTGTTTTTGAGTTCTACAAAAAAAAATATTTTTTTAAATGGCAACCCACTATGAAATCATTTTTCTCATAAATGCTATACTCTAAGGATTACAACTATCCGCTTTAAATTTAATTTTTTCAAAAAAATTTTTACACATAAATTGCAAATTTTGACAAAAAAATCGCATAACTCAAAAACAAAATAAAATTTCGTTCTGAAAATACAATCAAGTTTTTTATATTACTTTAATTTATATTAATTATTATTTTCCGGAAGCAAATGATTAAAAATAAAACCGCTTGGTTCCATACTTTATATTCACCTGTATGTATGTGAGCCAAGTTTTATCCGCACTTCTAAAAGACCTCTTACAAAAAAACTGAATTTTTAAAGAGATATCCTAGTAATTTCATCTAGGAATATCCTCAAATTCTTGTACGAATTTTTCCTTCTCAATTTTTTCCAAAACTAATAGAAAATTGCTTGCTTATTGATATAAATTTTTACAGCATTGTTTTAGAATTCTTATGAAATGAAACCAAACGTCAGTGATCATCAGAAATATAAAAAAAATAACATTCAATATTTTTTTAATGAAACGAAATTTTGATCTTCAGTCGGGAAACAAGTAATTTACGGACCACATTTTCATAATATGGCAAAATTAAAAGCTTAAAGTTGTCTATTCTTCCAAGGAGAATAAATCAGGAGAAATAAATTGAAAACGTCGTCGTACATATTGTTTTATTACTTATTTAAATGATATTTTGTTTTTCATTTATCGCAATTAACGTTGGTAATTTTTATTTTTACCACTAAATATTACCAAATAAAAAACTATGAAGTTCTGCACAAGAATTAGTGAGCAATAAAACAAAACAGACTAAAATTTGATCTGCACAGTCGTAAAAACAGAATTACGGACTAGATAATCAAAATCTGGAAAAATTGAGTTTTTAAGGTTGTCATATTGATACCTTTTATAATTGGCATAGATGCAAATATTTATTAAAAGACATAAAATTAAACATACGATTGACATTTTGTTTTGTAGTCATTTTTATCACTAAAATTTATAAAATATAAAATGCCAACATTACAAAAATCGTATTTCTAGAAGGCAAATAGTTGTTTTCACGCCAATACCTGCACATGAATTACGAATACGTGATTTTTCTCGAAACCAAAAGTTTTGGTATTAAAAACTATACTTTCGTTACATTCACTGCTTTTCCAAAGAATAAAATTCATTGTATTTTTATCTTTGTGTAAAGGATCGTTTACAATTAATTAAGTAAAAAATTAATTAACTCTACGTGTGCATTTACTGAAAGCCGTTGTAAAATTTCACGCTTTTTACGCTTTTAACCTTTTAGAATCCTCACAATATTAATAGGGTAGACCAAGTTATTATAATACTTGAAAAATAATTCGAAACGTGTGACTTTTTGCTCACCTTGAGACTTATTTACTAAAAACACTTTGTCTTCAATTTAATTTCCATAGTCACGTGTTGTGAAAAATGTCAATTTGCGTCGCTCCGGATCGTACCAATTAGGATTTTTTTGGTATAATTAATGTAGTTTGTCTGCCGGCCCCTCCCCGCAGAGGGGCGCGTTCTCATGGCAATTCGTTAAAAAATCTCTTTGAGTGTGTCTCGTCGCCCCCTCTGCATCCACCCTCAGACTGGCGGCACCCCAACTGTATAACAAAGAGCTTTGGGACTTACCAAACGACTCCGAAAGCTCCGTATCCGATCGGTCGGTCCGGTTGGACTTGTTCCTGGGTGTGTGCCGGGGCCGCGGCATGTTGGGGATGGTAATAGGGCTGCGCCGCATGCAGGCCCCCTTGCTGCCCTCCGGCGGTGGGGCCGGCGGTACCCTGCATCAGACTCATGGATACAGACATGGACACCCTTGAGTGGCGGCTGGGGCCCACCACAGCCATCAAATATTGCACCAGTTCGACGCTTTTTTTTCCCACCCGGTATACTCCTCAGTCACCACCGCGGTCGACGGGTTTAAAAATGCCTTTTGATTACTTGTTATCCTTGCAGTGCGGAAAATGTCGACTTACTACTACACACTAGTTTCATTACGAGTCACTGGACGAATTACGAGTGAACTTGGTGGTAAAATGCTAATTTCGAGTCCTTGTAAAGAGAACTTGTAATTAAATTAAATTTCACCGTCATGTTAATGCACCACTCCGCACTTTGATTATTTTTTCAACGGAAAACAAACGCGACAATGTAAAGTAATTTTCGAGGATTTGGTTGAAAATAAGATTTGGGCAAATAAAAATAAGGAAATAAGTTGTAAATTTGTGACACACAATGCACAACTTTCACAACCGTTCGATGCGAACTGAAATTCTACTCAACATGGCTGCAACGAGTCCAAACATTTGCGACCCCACTACTTCTCCTACAGTCTGCGCAGGACTGGACTTGGGGAACAGCTGACTACAGCTGGACTACGGTCATGAAAAATTACACAGCTAGATTACAAACAATTACATCAATTTTTTTTACGTGAATTTTACTGTATTTGCACCAATTATTCCGCCAGACTACAAATAAACCACAAACACTAAAGTTTATCTCAAACTGGAATTTGTCAATAGTAGATTATGGAAAAAAGGTCACATTGACAGTGTTTTCTGTTTTCTCATAAAACACAAAGTGCAAAAATATTATTCTACCAACTGCAAATACACACAACGAAATGTCAATATCCATTATCTATTTATAACACTCTTATAGTGCAAAAGAGCAGATTAGAAGTTTCTATTATATCCAATAAATTACGTTCTGTAGCGTAAAGAATGAGTGTAACTTTGAATTTTATGGTTTTTGTGCCATTAATGAATAAACTATTTAAATTTATAAAAGTTTGCTTAACTAGAATACATGAATTGTACAAAGCTAGATATTTTAGTAGCTATATACAATTTTAATAGCTGTAACTGTAGCTATTGCTGCCAGTGGCGGCTCGTCGTCTTTTCTGATGAGGAAACAGACCTTTTTTATATAAAATAAAAATATTTATGTCTATTTACACATGCCATATACCTACTTGACTTAAAAATGATTATCTGCTTTCGTCGTGACTCTTGACAGCAAAAAAAATATTAATATTGATAATTTTTTTTAATTTTTTTGTGGATATATGTATTTTGTTTATGCAGGAGATGTAATTTACAAAATTATTTTATTTTTTACTTCTTTTTTCACTATCTGTCCCTGACGAGTCGCCACTGATCCTAGTAATTCGTCATCATACTAAAAGCTTGTCCAAGTCTTTTTACATAAATTTTATAAAACAAACATTGCAAAAATATGGAAGAGTAGAAAATGTTGAATTTTATAAAAATTCGATGATTTTGATTCGTAACCTCACACTCCTCACAGTAGCATGAACCTTCTAAAGTTGTGAATTTTGTTAACTCTTTCTCATCTCATTAATTATTTTATAATTCATTTATAAATTTTTACCAAACATTAATCAAATAAATAGATGGACTGCAAAATATAATAAATGATCACTCCTTGAAAAACATCATTTTTATTATTATCTATTATAATAGATTAGTTAGTAAGTAGCGAAAATGTATTGTATTTCAGAATAAGTTTATAAAATCTTGAAACTCATTTATTATAAGTCGATTTTATTAATAAGTGTAATAAGTAACTCGTGAGGTTTCTATAAATATTGCGATACTTTATTTTTTGTTTGTCTGTTGGTCCAGTTGTAACACAAATTTTTCTTTTACATTAAAATTATAATTTTGTAAAGTTCTTCACCTCAAAAAACGCAGTTGCACGTCACAGATATATACTCATACAACCAAACCAAAAATTAAACTACAGCTTCTTTTTTACAACAAAAATAACCTAAAGAAATTTTTATTTAAAAACTAAGAACCTTGTATGTAGGCCTTATTTTACTATACATACTTATGTAATAATATTCACTGAGAAACTGACAAAACTAAGTATA